GCAGTTGATGTTCATTCAAAGACTCAATCTGTAAAGGTAGATAAAGGTATATATTAAACGTGAGATATATATTTTTATTATTATAATAGCAAACGAGCACTTATTTTAACATGACCATGTAACATCATTTCAGCTTGATTGGATGGAATAGGTAATCGTTGATTACTACGGCGTTTACAATAATGACGAGAGGCGCGCTGATTAAAGTAAATTATGACCGGAAATATTATTATTGATGATGCTCTTCGTGCCAAGGATATAAAAGCTTTTAGTTTCACTGTTTCTTCTGCTATCATGAGAATTTAATAGCGTTGTTGATAAGTAAAAGTATTTTACTGACAATAATGTTCTGTTTAAGATATATTCAAACATGTAGTGCGCTTCATTCGCGCTTGCATCATCGTGTAATACATACAGCATAACGCTGAAGATTTACATCCCATTGGTTGCCGAATTCTGCAACTTTCTGCAGTCAGAAACAAAATAATCATGTCCGTTAAATACTGTTCCTTTTCAACAGCATTACTACACTGTCAAAGCAACAAAATTTCTCTACAAAACTAGAATAACCCTACCTGTCTAGTATCTAAACTGAGTGAAAATTTTAGGAAACTCTTAGGGCAGTTAAACAAAAATCAATTTTCAGAAAGTATATGACAGGAGTTTTAGAGCAGGTAGTGATACTGTCATAGTCTTTTGATTAAAACATAGCTGCGAACGTTATTGCGTAGAGTCTAGTCAAGAATATTGTGCATTATTGCGTGTATAAATAGATCGATTTTTATTGTTATGGGGAGAACTTTTTTGTTTGTTAATAAACGGTGGCCATACACATCAGAAAGGACCGACCCTAACAAGGACCAATTGATGTTTCAGCTATATTTAGTATTACTTGTCCTATGAATTTCTTTTATCTCTAAATCAAAATATATTCTGAGAGCAAGAGATTTCCAATGGAAATTCTAATTAATAATGTAGCTGTTTTAAATTTCATTTTGTTTAGTTCACAATATTCCGACAATATTTCGACCATTGCACATGAGTGAATTGCAAGTGCGTTTTACAATCGACGAAAAAAAATGAAAGTGTTTATGAAAGAAATCTGAGACAACAGTTTTGTTCCTCAAGTTTTTCTGAGTGTCTGGTGTGAATTTCCCGACAATTCTTTGCGCGGTGCCAGAGATACAAGCTTTGAAACTTTGGAGTAGTCCCTGCTCCTAGTCTTTTCAGAAAACATGATTTCTTATCGGTTAAAAGGATACATAGCATACACCATTCGACAGCTCTCACTGAGGTCTATCCATCTAAGTCACACACAACTTTCTTAAAGAAAAAAAGCTGGCTCCAAAAACGAAAAACGCACAATTACTTCGAGTTTTTGCTGGAATTCCGCTTAAAAACTGTAAAGCTATTCTAGACTCATTACTTTCTACTTTTCGACTCTCTCGAAGCTTGAAATACTACTTCGGAATCTCCTCTCCTTTACTTCAGTCATTTAATTTTAACATAGAAAAAGTTAACTGTTCAAACAAGTTTTCAAAACAAAAAAGTACACTGTCAACAAAGCCAACATGTCATTTTTTAATCACAGTTTTCAGCAACCTCTCTTTCTCATTAGAGAGATTCTTAGCATACAAAGCACCGTCTTCTGTAACAAAAACTTCATGAAATGATGCTGTCCCTTTCACTGTACGAATAGCTGGAATGGAGTCTTTTACAGCTTTAATGTCATCACTATCGTAGAGAAATAGTTTGATTTCAGTATGATTTTCGACAGCATTGATTAGATTCATAGCATTGTCGTTACTATTATCTGAATCAAAGGCAATAGTTTCATCAAATTTTCGTTTGAGAGCCGCGCCTACTGCGTCGGCGACTCCTTTGCCATGACCAGCTTCCAGAAAAATCCATTTCATGTTAATTTTTTTTTCTTCTCCGTACTTTTTCATCATAGAAATCGTAGTTTTATTTCGAAACTGAGACACCGGCGAATCTGAGATGATGTTGACTGTTTTAATTTTCTTTTGTTCAATCAGATCGAGTAGAAGTTCTTTGATAGCAGTCTATGAAGCTTCGGACATGTGATTAGTATCGTCACTTAACGAACCGAAACTGAAGGATTCATTTTTTGACCAAACATAGCCGGAAAGAATCGAAATATGTTGTTCAAAATAATAAGCTCCTGTATCATGAAAAGAAAAAGACATTTTCTAACGTCTTAATCAAAAGCATGATTTTTCCAAATTACCCTTTTCTTCTCTCCACTGTTTCACTGTGTAGTTCTCACTCCAGTCCAGTTGTATCGTCGCCGTATCATCTGTCTCTTTGGCTGCTGTTTTGGCTGTTTTGGCAGCTTTAAACTGTTCATGGCAGCGTGTAAGATGATCTTTTAAAACCTAAACACGTGAAAAATGAGAAATGGTTGTTTTGAGGTGAAAGTAATTTACCTACGTCGATTTCAGTGACAAATTTCTTCATAAAATCTGCCAAAACTAAGGTGACTGCTACTTTTGTGGAAACAGGGACTGTAGAATTCAGTTTCTTAATTTTCTGCCACTCGAAATATGAAACATTAATCTTTTCATTAATCAAAGTTAGTTAATTCTCTTTGAAAAGTTCAAAATCATCACTGTTTTTTACTAAATCAGAAATGTCCGGAGGCGTTCCATCTACGACTTTATTTAGACATTGATGTTTCTGTCTCAAATGTTTCAATTTTTCATATTTCAGTTGAGGATTTAGGCAGGTAACGCAAAGACACGTTCCCCAACTGCTGTGATTTGGTTTCATAATATGCGTCGGCACATGTCGAGTGAACGTTACATAAGCAATGTCTGTGCCTGTCTCATGTTCAAACAGTTGATGTAGACAGGAAAGGTGGTTCAGCCGATAGCGAATTTGAACACCATTCACAGTTTTATTCTTATCTGGACACGGTATGGACACGTGATCCTGAGTGAAGGAATTTTCGATGGACTGTTGTAGTGCAGAAGGTGCTGTTTTCTTTGGAATATTTTGTGTGGATAAGTTAATTCTAAATGTCTTTCTCAGATCGAGCAGTGAACCTCGGGGCAAATCAGTTTTTCGATCTTTTAGACGAGAGACTACACGTCTCTTTGCTGTTGGACTTAGACTTTCGACCAGCAAAGTTGTTGGAGATGGACGAGGTGGAGTGAGAGATCATTTGGCTTGCAACTTCTTATTTTCCATCTTCAATTTACGTACGGTTTCCAGAAGCTGTTCATTTTCAGTCTTCAGCTTCTCTAAGTTTGCACGCCTTCTTCTCTGTCCTTCTTTTGCACGGCCGTCCGACCTTGATGCAGTTGTTAGGGATGTGGACGGAAGGGAAAGAACTGATGCTGACAGCAGCTGACCTTTTTTCTGTCGACGTTTTCGCTGTTCCTGGCTTCTTTTTCGTTTAAAGTCATTGTCGAAGTCCTTGTTCAATAATCTCTTAATTTTCGTCTTTTCCCGATAGCGTTTATCATATTTTCTTCGAATGAGCTTTGATGCTGAAGTCATTCTAATCTAAAAAGATTCTAAAAACTATCCCAAAACAAGACTTTTCGAGAGTGAAATCTCAGTTACTGCAAATTCTTGTTGGATCAAAGAGAAAACGGTTTTTTAATCGATATTTTTCCCTAACACAGTAGGAATGGCCTGAATGTGTTCAGTTTGATGTAAGGAATTGAATGGTATATAATAACAGTAGTTTTTTACCAAACTCAATCAACACCTGACCCGAAAAATCTCACGCTTCATATTTCGTTAAATTGTAATTTTCTCCTAAATTAAACGAAATTTTGTCTTGAAAATAATTCTGAACACAGGTCATGGTGTCTCCACTGTCGTGTAAAAGTTTGATCGAAATCGATTCGTCCATTTAGAAGTTAGAGAAAAAACAATCATCAAAATCCCACGCTTCAAACTGAGTGAAAAAACAGCTATTTGAGTTTTTCCTTCTGCAAACTATTTACCTATGAAATGATTTTTACGCAGCTATATTCAGCTCGCCGAGCTGCATCTTTTCGTCGGACTTGTTTTGCAGAGCAGTGCTTAATTCAGCCTCTGAAAGATTTCAAAATCTCACGCTTCATCGTCTGTACAAAGCTTTTCCTCCCCCAAAAAGACCAGAAAGTGATATTTAGAATACGCCAATAGTACGGCTCGATAGACAATTTAAAACTGTTGAAAATGTACATTTCAGTTTTTTGCCTACTTCTTCTGTTTCTAGAAAATTCTCCTTTTTCTAAGGATAAGTCATCAGGAAAACGGTTTTTTTGATATCACACGACTCTATCTCAGTGTTCTGACGACATCGAGGGCTGAAATTTTTAGGGTTGCTTGAATAAGCCATTAGGAACGAAAGAGAAAAATTTTTTTGAAATCGGTTGAGATGAACAGAAGTTATAGACCAAATGAAGAAAAAAGTTGATTGTAAAATGCACTTGCAATTCACTCACATACACATTATTTTATTAAGTTCCACTTATAAGTCTTGTAAGCGAAGCGGATTTGTGTATGTTGTGCAAATAACAAGAGTATTATTTATAAATAAAAGATCTTTATGTTGCAATACATTCGAATATAGTACCTACATACACAAGCGTATTCATTATTGGTATAGTTCTATTTAATTTGAAGTTTTCGTTTTCCAGTAATGTTTGAAATTCTAATTGTGTTCGCATTTTACCACCAAGAAGAACAAGCATATGTAAATTAGTCAATTGGTATATTACTATATATATCACCACCAATAATTGTTAATCGATCAGCTACTGATTTATCTAAATGTTGTAAATTAATTGTATTGACTACTTGAGGTAAATCATATAATATTCCCCTTAAATATTTATGTTTTGTTAATAAACTGATAAGTAATCTACCAATTCCACCACCAATATCAACAACACAATTCACATTAGAAAAACCATCATAAATTTCTACAAATTGTTCATGCCGTGTACCAGATGCCATACATTCATTGAACATAGAATTAATATTTGGATTTTGGCCTAAATATTGGTAAAAATCCATTCCATATAAATTTTCAAATGATGAATTACCTGTTTTAATACTATTCAATAATGAGCCCCATGGTTGATATTGATACGGTTCAGCCCATGTGAGAACAGTTGATCTTAATGAATTCATTTCTAATAATTTACCTAAGGATGTTGTATAATAATAACCATCCTCATCTACTGTAAATACGTTAACATGAACCAATGCACGAAGTAAATGTTCAAGTGTTGGTGCATGTGTATCAGTTAGTTTAGATAGTTCATCGACTTTCATACGATCATGACAAGCTAATATATCAGCTATACCAAGTTGTGCTACAACATAAAGTGCTTGTGATAATTGATAACCACGAACCATACTCATCATAATTACTGATTCTGATGATGCAGATGATTTTTTCTCAGCATCAGCATCATCAAATTTTAAATGCATTTCATTCGATTTTTTCATATCAGCCACTAATGTTTTGCTATTATCGTTTAGTAATGATGATGATGTTAATTCATTTACATTTAAATCCATAAGCTATGTCTCACTTTTTATAAATAAACGAGTCTAAACTAAACAAAAATATTCTTTGCACTATTTGCTGATCATGAGCGGTGTAAGAATCACAACGCCAATTGTAAGCGATTGTTTTGCGATTCAAAAAATGTCGCTGTCAAAATAGTCAAAAGAAAAAATTGTTTCTATTTTGTGCTTTTTTTTCTGACAGGCAAGTAACCTCAAAAACAAGCTCAACCTTCTATAGTTATTATCTAGGAAAAATTTCTATCATTTCGAAACAATAACTACATAACAAAAGAGGCAGTTGATGTTCATTCAAAGACTCAATCTGTAAAGGTAGATAAAGGTATATATTAAACGTGAGATATATATTTTTATTATTATAATAGCAAACGAGCACTTATTTTAACATGACCATGTAACATCA